GTTACTGACCTTTGGCTTGTTTACTGACAATGCTTCTGCTTGATTCCTACCTGCTATATACATGCTACCAAACCCCAGCCTGCACACCTCCTGGTGGGGCGATCCTGGACAGTGACCTGGCACTAATATGTTTCAAAACCTATCTCCTGCATCAGGAGCTCTTGTGAATACTAGATAGTGCTTAGACACTCTGCCTCAGGTGAGCCCTGATTGTCCACCAAGGGCATCTGCTTGTACATTTCCAGCTGACTACCTGTGAATGTCTGTAATGTTACAGCCATTGGTCTCCAAGCCTGATCAAGACCATGACACTGTCATAGCTTAACAGCTGAGAAGAAAAAGAGGGACATTAAGTATTTTACATCCTACATCTCTTTAGCATCCCTTATCATAGTTGTCTGTTGTAATCTCCATCTATCTTCTCACGCTGTTAGGTTTTATATAAACCTAGCCGCCCACTGGACATGAACCAGCACCTCAAATAATCCGAATTTTGTCACAGCATAATAGTGGGCTAGGTCAGTGTGTTTATTCTTTATAACTAGATCTGCATGCAATCAACTGTAGTAGTATACTTCTAAATGCTCACATAAAACTTGTTAGACCTAGTGAGCGAACCTGTCCATAAAACCCAAAGCCAAGCATGAGTAAGCCACCAAAAACAAACACAGATAAAACTGCATGCAAATGTAACATTAGCTTTGTTTTCTCTAACAGCTACAAACAGATACACCTATATATAAACTCAGTAAATTATTTCAGTATTTTACAGCTAATTATTACATTTATTCCTACACCACAAATCTTATGATGAATGCCACTATGCCAACTTAGATGAAGGATGTCATTATTCACAGTGCTCTAATGTTGTCTATAATTTCGGTGTTAAACCTGACATTAGAAATCCTTTAATCTGAGTACTTAAAAGCTGCTCTATGGCTCATTTTTCAAATACAGTTTCTGGTACTGCTTCAGATACTGCTAATGAACCACTAGCTTGATATTCCTTTCTTAGATAAACGCTGTTGACCAACATTACTATTTGCTCCTCATATAATTATTTTTCTTCTCTCTCTTTTTTTAAATTTAATAGCTTCAACAAAAGGCACATATAATGCATTTTTAATTACACTTCCCAAGTGACCTATGTAAAATAAGTTTCATAACGAAGCACTAATAATTAGCCTGTCACAGTCCAGTTTTTTAGCTATTGTCTGCATGTCCTTTATGTATTCTACCTTCAGATGATGAGCGTGATTAAGTCCTTTAGCGCTTGCAGCATAAATTTTTTTTTTAAATTGCAAGTGGCAAATTTATGGCTTTCTCATTTATTCCCAATGTGATGTTGAAAAGTCACTTGTGAAATAAAAATAACAGCCCACTCCAGAAAGTCTAATGGCCCTAGAGAATAAATAGTTTGTAGACATACCCGGTTCCCATAGGACAGATAATTGGTTTACACAGCTCAACATCTTAAACAAGCCATTAAAAAAACAACAATAAAAAAATAAATGTTGCTATCGATGCTCATTAAATATAAGGCCAAATAAATCTTATATACAGAGAGTGTTATGGACTATATCATTCCAAGCAAAAAAAATTATATAAAAAACAAGTTATAGATTTAAAAAAAAAATTTTTTACTTTGCATTAAAAGTATTTTACTGTAACTTTTGTTTATTTTTCCCTGTTTTTCAGTATAGCGTAACATTGATTATGAACTATATTGACATCAGCCCTGCTAAATATTGCATCTTAAAAAAAGGCAAAAACATAATTAAATGGCCAGTCCATCCAAAAATGATATTTTAGTGATGCATGGGGGTTGATTTACTAAAACTTTAGAGTGCAAAATCTGGTGCTGTTGTGCACAGTAGCTAATCAGCTTCAGCTTGCTCAATTAAGCTTTGACAAAAAAAAACCCTGGAAGCTGATTGGTTTCTGTGTAGAGCTGGATCAGATTTTGCAGTCTTCAATTTTAGTAAATCAAGCTCGTAGAGTCTTCTGGGCTAATTTGTCTGCTAACTTCGTATAGCACAACATAATATATAATTCTCTAACACTCAGCTATACTTTACAGCAAAGAGGACTCAAATTAAATACAAAAGTCTTAGTTACAATTGTTTGCTAGTACTATATATATGAATGCTGCACGTTGTACAAGGGTACAGTGGAGCATATATTTTAGCATTATATTCTTTTAAAATGTAATTTTTAAATAATTCAGTACTTTTTTCCAGTGCAACCATTTCTGTATATCTTAAATTAAAGGAATGTATAATGCACATACTTTAGTATTGCCAGGGCTAAAAAATATATATATGTTTTAATTTTTAAAATATTGCATACAAATATTATGTTAGATGTAAAAGTGGTAATACAAGCGCTATCTGAAAAAGAGTAGCTGCTAGAACACCAAAAAGGTAGCCAAACAACACCTTCCAAATGACATATAAAACAACATAGGCGCAGCGCTAAAAATCAAGCAACAGACTAAAAAGTATAAATAAAATAACAATGAGTAAAAAAACTATATAAAAAACAAAGTCACATGTCACTAATGGTGACTAATGAATGAATGGATGTCCCAAGGTATATAAAGCCCACGTGAGGATCTGATATGATCCTTAGATAGGTGCATGAAGGACTTGATCCGAGGTGGCAGATGAAATAAGCTAAATGAGTAAATTGCGCACTCACCAGAAGTGCGTAAAAAATACGCTTTTGAGATATGCCTGTCCCACCAGGTGTCTATGAGGTCATCTGCGTTCTTGTAAGGGTCAGGATCCTGTACGTCTACTGGTCACGTCTAAGGTAGGGTGCTCAGATGTGTAACACGTTCAAAGGTCCCTTAGAGTGCAGGTTCTGTGGATGGAGGCTCTGATTTGAACATGCAGTGATTCTGTTAAAGGGGAATCAAACAGGTAAGAAATATTTCATGGCTTCCAAAATTTCTCCAGTAGAAGCTGTGCCGGAATAAGTGTATGCACCCAGGAAAGTTTCAGTCAAGCAATTCAGTGAGATCCATGATGCACACAGGTCTCCTCTCTCTGTTTGATTCCCCTGGTGAGTGCGCAATTTACTCTTTTACCTTATTTCATCTGCCACCTCGGATCAAGTCCTTTACGCACCTATCTAAGGATCATATCAGATCCTCACTTGGGCTTTATATACCTTGGGACATTCATTCATTCATTGGTCACCATTAGTGACATGTGACTTTGTTTTTTATATAGATTTTTACTCATTGTTATTTTATTTATACTTTTTAGTCTATTGCTTGATTTTTAGCGCTGCACCTATGTTGTTTTATACAAATATTATGTATTTATAACAATAACCTCCTGTGCTACCCAACACCTATACCAAATGGAAGCTGCTGCTAATATGAGATGACAAAGCATACAGAACTAAACAAAAAACAAGACAAAAAGTAGCACTAATGTGAATAATGATTATATCATAGATTGTTGTTACTACTCAGCATACACATATCATCAAATAATATCATCAAAAGTGTCAATACACAATATATTCCCCACTAATTGTGCAAATATGTTCACAGCAAATTTGAAAATATCATAATCACAGCAAAAAGAACAAATTGTATAAATCATAAAAAATAATGAATGTAATAAAGCCCACACTAAAAGGTGCTCTGTGATGTGTGTAAAGAAAGAAAAACCACAGCTGGTGCAAATGCACCACATCAAAGCCTGTGTATCATTTAGCACCTCTGTGAAGACTGGTGGTGTGGAAAGAACAGCCAAATCAAATCAATTGCAACAACAAATTGATTTAGCTTATTACAATATTACAATTTGTAATGCAAAATATATACAATATAAGGGCTCAGGAGAAGAAGAGAGATAGGTGAGAAAACATAACATGTATTAGGCTGGGAAAGTGTTAGTGGTAATGGAAACTAGACAAGCTCTGGTTACTAATATGTAGATTTAGAGAAATTTGGTTAGCCAGCTTTGAAAAAGGGAGTTTAGCAATTCTAAGGGATGGACCACATGGGCAATTCTGTCATTGGCAACAAATCATCAGGAGCAGAATCACTACATTTCACCTCACTGTCTCCCATGGCATCACTCCCTTGCTGGCTAGACCAGAGAGGATTAATTTCATAGTCGTTTCTTGTACTTTGGTCAGAAATTCCAGTGTTACATCAATCTAACAGTGTAAGGGAAGAAATTTACAGATAACTACGCTATGCAGAAATTGCTTCCTGTAGGCGTCCCTGCTATAAGTAACATTTAAACATTGTTTGGCTTTAATGAAACTTCTTCAGAATTTTTACTTTTATTCAAACCAGGGGTATACAACCTTTTGACTTTCCTGGGCCAAATTAGAAGAAAAAGAATTGTCTTGGCTCCCACATAAAATACATTAACAATAAAGATAGTTGATGAGCAGAAAAAGTTGGGCAGATCAAAAGTTAATGACCACTGATATAAATAATATGATTTATTGTAAAAGAGGGAAACATAAAATAAGTGTGATATTTGACACTGTTTTTTATAAACTAATGCAACAATATCAGGCTCGATGAATATTGTAGTAGTTCACAATGAATCCTCAAGGTGTTCATAAGATATTTTGGTTTATGTGCTTCATCCTTGAAAATAGTTGCTCACAAATATAGGTGCTGCCAAAAACTGACATGAATAAGGTGTGATTGTGAAGAGTAGGATATTTTGCTAACTGTGAAAGCATTATTACCGAAAAAACAACAGTTTAAAGTAAGTTTACGATTTTGTGTTGGACTGCATCTTGGGCCGCAGGTTGGACACCCCTGATTTAAACAATATAAAATGTAAAATGTTTCAACCAAAGTGCACTTCATTTTAAAAGATGAAAGTAAGCCTTGTTAGGGAGGACATTAGGCCATAGCGTTTGCCAAGTCACTGTTTAACTGCTTCCCAACCACCCTATAGCAGATATACTGCTACAGGGTGGCACAGGTGCGCAAAATCACGTATATACAGTATATGTGATTTTGCATTTCTGGGTAGGGGGCGTGCGTACACCCTATCCATGCCGCCATTTGCAGCCACGGCTGTCAATCACCGAGTCCTGTCTGGTGATTACTCGCTGGCGCCCGGTGATTGCCAAGCATCTCCAATGAGGAGGAGAACTGTTTGTAAACTGAACAGTTCTCCTCACTGTCAGCTCGTGCACACTGCTTTGCATGGCTGTGCACAGCCATGCAAAGCAGTGTGCTTACAGTGAAGCACAGGGACACAGAACTATGTAAAATAGCACACAGCACACAGTTAACCCTTTTGATTGCCCCTCATGTTAACCCCTTCCTGTCCAGTGCCATTAGTACAATGTCAGTGCTTTTCATTAGCACTGATCACTGTATTGGTGTCACTGGGGATGTCAGTGACACCAAATCAGTTCCACCCCCAGTGTCAGAATGCCAGCCGCAGTCCCACTATAAGTCACTGATTGCTGCCATTACTAGTAAAAAAATAAAAAAAAAATCCCAGTATACCGCCATTTGTAAACGCTATAATTTTCATGTAAACCAATTAATTTACAGGTATTGGGATTTTTTTTTTAGCAAAGACATGTAGCAGAATACATTTTGGCCTAAATTTATGACGAAATTAGATTTTTAAAATTTTTTATTGGACATGTTTAATAGCAAAAAGTCAAAAATAGCAGCACAGTGGCTAAATGGTTAGCACTTCCGCCTGGCAGTACTAGGGTCGTTGGTTTGAATCCCAACCACAGCACCACCTGCCTGGAGTTAGCATGTTCTCCCTGTGCCTGCGTTGGTTTCCTCTGGGTACTCCAGTTTCCTCCCACACTCCAAAGACATGCTGGTAGGTGAATTGGCTCCAGTCTAAATTTGCCCTAGTATGTGTATGTACGAATGTGAGTTTGGGACCTTAGATGGTACACCCCTTGAGGGCTAGGGACTGATGTGAATATACAATATATATGTAAAAGCGCTGCGTAAATTGATGGCGCTATATAAAAACCTGAAATAAATATAAGTATCTGAAATAAAATAAAAATGTCCTAACTTAGAGCAAGCATGTACATTGAGTGTTAATATTTTTGCATGTAGTCTCCACTGGAAAAGCATAGGACAGGGTGACAATACAATAGAGCATTTAGAAGTAAAGAACAAAATGTTTTCACCCAGTAATAGGAATTGCTTTAATAATTACCTTCATGGCAGGTTTAACAGATATTATTTTACTGAGGGAAAAAAAAACTAAAATTCACTTGAAATGCATCTAAGATTTTCAGGATTATATGAGAGTTTAGTGATTAGGTCTACCCAGGGGTGGACTAACCATTTGGAAAATTGGGCACTGCCCGAGGGCCCGTGGTCAGTAGGGAGTCCCATGAGATGCCCCTGGTACCTTTTTTATAGGCTATTTTTAGTTTGGGCAAGGAAACAAGGGCCCCATAATCCCCTATTGCCCAGGGGCCCCATGAGTTGTCAGTCCGCCCCTGGGTCTACCTCTACTGTATGGAAAATGTATTGGCTTTCTTAGGTTCAGTGTAATCCTGAAGAGACATTAGTGACTGGAGAGCACATTTACAAAACAACAGTTTTTTAAAATATATATTTGATTTGCAAGTTCCTTTGGACTTTTTATGCTGGATCTATGATAGATTGCTGTGGTCTACAAAAGCAGTACCCTCCCAAGATGGGACAACTATTTAAATATATACACATATTTAAAAAATTACTTGTAATACATTTTTTTATTAGAGTTTTATAGAATTTTTCTGTTAAGTTTCACACCCTTTTAGTCAATCCCACAGAAAATATCCACATGTTTTTGCAGTGGATGTTTCCATTAACCATGGTTTACAATGACTAGAAAACCTGGAACTCAATCTATTACATCTAATGCACTTAAAGAATTTTAGAAAATTGTTTTGAATATCTATATAAAACATATATGTAAACACCTCTATTTAGACCAAGTTCTATATTCTAAAAAGCACCACTAATGCACACATAACATTACACATCCTCCAAGGCTTCTTTCATATAACATTATGCAAATTGAAAAATTTGAATAGGGTATTTGTAGGAATTGGTATGTACTCTGCAGCAAGTCTTTGAATTCTTCTATATTCTATGTTGCTAAAGCTGACTTTATAAATCACTCAAGTGCAATATGCTCTAACAATATTGCTTTTACTGTTGAAAATGTACTCTAATGTTTATCCCATGCAACATTATATAGTAGAGACAGTCTGAATATCTGAAGAGTCTTGGTAAGTAATAAGTGCTCACATTAAAGAAAAAAAAATACAAAAAAAAAATATATATATATATATTATATTGCCAAAAGTATTGAGACACCTGCCTTTACACGCAAATAAACTTTAATGGCGTCCTTTCGTCTATAGGGTTCAATATTGAGTTGGCCCACCCTTTGCAGCTACAACAGCTTCAAATCTTCTGTGAAGGCTGTCCACAAGGTTTAGGAGTGTGTCTATGGGAATGTTTGACCTTTCTTCCAGAAGCGCATTTGTAATGTCAGGCACTGATGTCGGATGAGAAGGCCTGTCTCGAAGTCTCTGCTCCAATTCATCTCAGAGGTGTTTTATTGAGTTGAGGTCAGGACTCTGTGCAGGCCAGTCAAGTTCCTCCACCCCAAACTCGCTCATCCATATCTTTGTGGACCTTGCTTTGTGCACTGGTACGCTGTCATGTTGGAGCAAATAGGGGCCATCCCAAAACTGTTCCCACAAAGTTAGGAGCATGAAATTGTCCAAAATGTCTTGGTATGCTGATGCCTTAAGAGCTCCCTTCACTGAAACTAAGGGGCTAAGGCCAACCCCTGAAAAACAGCCACACACCATAATCTCCCCTCCACCAAACCTTACACTTGGCACAATGCAGTCAGGCAAGTACCATTCTCTTGGCAACCACCAAACCCAGACATGACCATCAGATTGCCAGACAGAGAAGTGTGATTCGTCCTGAGAACACATCTCCACTGCTCTGGAGTCCAGCTTTACTCCACTGCATCAGATACTTTGTATTGCAGTTGGTGATGTAAGGCTTGGATGCAGCTGTTTAGCCATGGAAACCCATTCCATGAAGCTCTCTACACACTGTCGTTGTGCTAATCTGAAGGCCACATGAAGTTTGGAGGTCTTTAGCTATTGACTCAGTTGGCGACTTCTGCTCACTGTGCACTTCAGCATGCTGACCCTGCTCTGCATTTTATGTGGGCTACCACTTCATGACTGAGTTTACTTACTGGCCACTTTATTAGGTACACCTGTTCAATTGTATGGTAACACAAATTGTTAATCACATTGCAGCAACTCATTGCATTTAGGCATCTAGATGTGGTGAAGACTACTTGCTGAAGTTCAAACTTGAAGTGCAAATGAATGTAATCATAAATAAAATGTTCATTTTTAATATTTTGTTGATAATCCTTTACTGGCAATGACTGCCTGAAGTCTGGAACCCATGGACATTATTAAAGACTGGGTTTCCACCTTTCTGATGCTTTGCCAGGCTCTAACTGCAGCTGTCTTCAGTTGATCTTTGCTTGTGGGTATTTCAGCCATTAGTTTTGCCTTCAACAAGTGAAATGCATGCTCAGTTGGGTTGAGATCATGTGATTGACTCGGCCATTGCAGAATATTCTACTTCTTTTCCTTCATAAGCTTCTGGGTTGCTTTTGCAGTGTGTTTTGGATCACTGTCCGTCTTTACTGTGAAGCGCCATCAATCAACTTTGCTGCATTTGGCTGAATCAGGGATGACAGTACTGTATATCTCTAAACACTGCAGAATTCATCTGTCTTCTGTCACATCATCAATAAACACCAATGACCCACTGCCACTGGAAGCCATGCGTGTCCATGCCATTACACTGCCTCCACCATGTTTTACAGCTGATGCTGTGTGCTTTGGATCATGAGCTGTTCCAAGCCTCCTCCACACTTTTTCTTTGTGTCATTCTGGTACAGGTTAATCTTAGTTTCATCCATCCAAAGAATGCTTTTCCAGAACTGGTCTGGCTTTTTTAGATGTTTTTTTGGCAAAGTCTACAAGATGTAACCTTTAGAACCTCTGTTAAACTGTAACCAGGGGCGGACTGACCATTTGGAAACTCGGGCACTGCCCGAGGGCCTGGGGTCAGTAGGGGGCCCCATGAAATGCCCCACGGTACCTTTTTCATAAGCTTTTTTTAGTTTAGCAAAGGACACAGGGGCCCCATGATCCCTTATTGCCCGGGGGCCTCATGAGTTGTCAGTCCGCTCCTGACTGTAATGCCACCTTTTTGAAACACTGGAGATTACTGAGCAGGACCAACAAATAATAAACTTACTAAACAATGTGTTGGGGCAATTGTATTTGAAAATGTTGGTTTACAGCTTTAAAACTGATGTTTTATAGTCTTGTTTTATTACTATATGTATAAAACCTTTGATTTTTACCACTTGCCTTCTGCCCACAGTACTTTTTCTGCGAGCAGGCGGCACAGCCAGGGTAAGAGACTTAAAAAAAATGTGAAAACATTTTTTTTATTTAGTTTCTTTATTTTCCAAAAAATAGTGACCAAAAAATTACAACTTAAATAAACTTGTCATGCCTCTTACTAAATACCTTGGACTGTCTACTTTCCAAAAAGGGGTCGTTTGTGTATATGTACTGTCCTGGCTTTTAAGGGCCTCAAGAAATGAAATAGACCATAATTACATCAGGATTGATCAATTTTCAATTATATATACCATAGTTTGTAGGCTCTATAACTTTCACACAGACTAAATAATATATACTGATTTGGGTTAATTTTACCAAAGAAATGTAGCAGAATACATTTTGGCCTAAATTTATAAAGAAAGATTATTTGTTTGCACAATTTTACAACAGAGACTAAGAAACTTTTTTTTTCAAAATGATTTGTATTTTTCCATTTATGTAGCAAAAAATATAAAACCCAGCGGTGATTAGATACCACCAAAAGAAAAATCTTATTTATGTGAAAAATATGAAAAAAAAATAATTTGGGTACAGTGTTGCATGACAGAGCCATGGCCAGTTAAGATAGCATAGTGCTGAATAGCAAAAAATGGGTAAAACCTTCCGGAGGTCAAGTAATTAAACAAGTGATTATTGTTGAACATCTACATACACAGGCAAAACACATATAAAGGGATTTTTTTTATCTGCCTAAAGATTTGGATAACAGCACTTCATCTTTTACAGATAAGCAAGGCAGCGAAGTTAACTTCCCGCTGATAGCCTACCAATTGGATATTAGAGCACCAGTTCCTGCTGAGGCACCAGTCCAGCCACATTCTGTGTACATCTGTATCTCCCTGTGCCACAGGTACTCTTTATTTTATCTTTGCTCATTCTCCTGTGCTTCTTCATCAGTAAACATAGCATTGCAACCAAGTAGCGGTTGGCCTGCTTGCCTTAAGAGGATGTTGTG